AGCAACTTGCTTGAACTTTTAGTGACTCTAGTTGGTTCATTAATAATTTGATATAAGTTATAAGATTCCAAACAAAAATTTACTGGGTTATTTAAATTTAAAAAATCGGTATTAAAATCCCCCAGGCATATTACCTCATCAAAAGTTGGACACAAAAAAGAAAATATATTTTCACAATCTTCTAAAAAATTACTCATATTTTTGTCTTTAGGTCTGTATAACGTTCCAATAGCAATATTTTGTAAGTTGGTGTTAATTTTTAGGAATAAATACTCTAGGTTTTCATTGACAGAAAATTCGAGTTGAATCATTTGACAAGCGTATTGATTCTTGACATAAGCACCCACTCCCCCTCCCCTTCCTACTCTGTCGTTTCCAAAAAATGTGTAACCACGTATATTAATGACATTTGAGCTAATATTTACGTCTAACCACGTTTCACTAAGCATAAGGACATCAAAGTTGTGTTCTTGAACCAAAAATTTAAAGTCAGTAAAGCCCGTGAATACAGATCTAATATTTAAATGACCTATTTTCATTATGAAAGTTAATTTAAAATAAAAGAACTAAAGGAAGAAAACCAAATTAAGAATAGAATACAAATAAAGTATGCTCAAGTTTTTGATTCATATTAAGTAAATGTGTTTTTATTATATAATATGAGAAAAACTAACAATAACTATCAAAAAAAGGTTGATAAACAGAGTAGGGGAGACCGGGGTATGTTGAAACAGATTTTACATGCTGCAACAGATTTCACTGAATTTTTTTTATTTAAATATATGTAATGAAAAACATTGTTATAAATTTATAAAAACATTAAGTGGTATTTGTGTATCACGCCTAAAATTATTTTGTACTTCTATAAAGTAAAAAAAAATCACAACAAAAAATATTTATTCTTAATTTTTAAGTGTTGCAATATGCCCCACGGCAAGGGCAACTTGCAACAGTTCGGGGGCAAGTTGCAACGGACTATTCAGACTCGTCAGAATACTCAGAAAGGCAATTCAAACACACGTAAAATGGATCACGATTCGCACATTTTCCATGAGCCCACTTATTACACTTAGTGCACTGCAGCCAGTCCTCGCGTTCATTGTCTTTGTCATACTTTTCATCACAAACCAAGCAAAAAGTATCGTCCTCTTCGGAAGAACTTTCCGAAGTTACTTGTTTTTTCTTTTTCTGAACTGTTTTTTTCTTTACAGCTTTTTTGATTGAAGGCTCTTCATCTGAATTGTCGGAAACCAGTATTTTTCGGACTTCGGCTCTCTGTTTTATAGCACATTTTTTACCTTTTTGCAAGAACTTGTCAGATGTTTTTTTTTTTCTTTTCTTGTCGGAGCCTCTCTTCATCTTCTAAGGCCTTCTTCTCGGGTGTATCGGTCAAAATCGCAGCCTTTCTTCGTTTCTTTCCTCTATTGTTGTTGGTTAAGCGTGGTGCAGCCTTAGGAAAAGGTCGTACAACTTCTGGGCTGAATATTTTTGATAAGCTTGATCATGGTGAAGATTTTGGTTCGTGTTGTACTCCACCCTTGTCAGCCTTTGTCGTACTTGGTATGGGGTCAAGGTTTATTTCATCTGCTTCCTTAGAGCCATTTTCAATATTCTGTTGTATTATTCCTAGCACTACAACGGCATTGTTTCCATCATCTGTTGCCTTAGGTTCAGGCTGTGATTCAGGTCTGTCTGTCACAAAAGCGGGTGCAAAATCAGAATCAGAGAATATGACTGGATTCAAGGGGTAAATCCCGGCGGCTGCAAAACCAGAAATGACATTTTTGGGACTCACAGCATTTAAAAATGCATGCTTTATGATTCCTGGAAGATCAAAAATCGTTAGAGTTTTTCCTGGGTTGCTCTTTAGCCACGCACTGATACCCGTACTGCACCATTTTTTGAAAGGACCGAACACTGTCAAGTCTAGCGGTTGCAATTTGTGCGAACAGTGGGGCGGAAATGACACCATGATAACACCGCTGTCTTTACACAAGTTCAGAACTTTGCAACTTAGATGAGACGAGTGATTGTCCAACAAAAGAACGACTGGTGCTTCCTTAGTGGGTTTGGAATTTTTAATAAAATGTTGAATGAAAGTGAAAAATGTATCTTCTTGCATCCAACCTGACCCATTGGCTTCGCCGATACAACCTGGAGGTCCATCCCGGATGAAATGGTCTCGAAAACGCTTTCTTGGGAAGAGAAACATAGGCGGTATAGAGTTTCCTTGAGCATTCACTGCCACAGCAACTGTGATCATTTCACCCCGTTCTGCAGAAGTGATTGACCCAACTTGTTTCGCACCTTTTTGAGCCAGTATTTTTCTTGGGCGAAGCACAGTCGAAACACCCGTTTCATCCATGTTCCAAATTCGAGATGCTTCAAACTGATCACGGGATAAAACCTCCGACAGTTTTTCGAAAAACATTGTTACGTTCGTACGATTGAAGCTTGTAGCCCTAGCAAGGCTCGTAGCTTCTGGTTGGCGAATGGAAAGTTCCGCATTTCGTTTGAGGAAAAGGTTCAGCCACTCGACTCCAGCCTGTTTGTTATCGTTCCATGATTTAGGAACTTTTATTTCATGCAAAACTGCACATTGATATGCCAGTTTTCGAACACTTAGTGGATCAAGCCCAAACATAATATCACTGCATCGTTTGATATATTGCACTAAAATGCGTTCTTCCTCTTCCATAAACACTAGTCTGGCCTTTGCATATCCGCATTTTGGCATTTCGGAATTGTTTTGAACTTCACGAAGTTTTTTTGTTTTGGTAATATACCTTGATAAGGTAGAATAGTGAATATTAAAATCACTTGCAACTTTTCTTATAGAAAACTCCTTTTCTCCTTGATGTTTCAATACTAGGTTTGCAGCCCGCTTCATAACATCATCAGGAGTTGCACCTCTTGCGGTTTTTTTCTTATAATTTCTCATGATCTGTAAAAGACATTCGATTTACAATTTATTAAACATCAGGGGTAAGTTGCAACATGTTGCAACTTACCTCAAACCATCTGTTGCAGTTTGCCCCGAGTGACGCATTGCCACTCTAACCTCCAAAATTCTTATTTTGTAATCATGCTCAATAATTTCAACCCGTGCAAAAGAAACATGCTAATGTATATTATGACTTACCACAAATAAGATTTTCCTTTAAATAACTCAGAAAGGCACAGGCGACTTGGACTGCCACAGGAAATTTTTCACCACAAAATCGAAAAACTCTTTTTGTTAAAAAACAAAGAAAGGAATTAGCGGATCGGATTGCGCCCTCTATTATGGAAAGCTCGAACGACTTAAAATATGTATGTGAGTCTAGGACTCTGTAAGTGTTGTTTTTGGTTTAAAAAAAGGGTGTGTTGCAACTTACCCGTGTTGCAACTTGCCCCGGTCTCCCCTAGTATTAAGACTAAAATACAAATAAAATATACTTAAGTTTTGATTCCTATTGTTAAATGAATGTGTTTTTTTTTATTGTATTTACAATATAAAAATATATATATATATATATATATATGTAACGATAAACAAAAAGGTTGATAAACAGAGCAGAACGGTTGCGTGCATAGGTGTTTACCAGTAGAAAAAAAAGTTAAATATTTAATAAAAGTTGTGACCAAGTTAAAATAACCTAGTAAATTATGTTAGCATAGTTGCAATATTCATAACATACAAATAATATACTGGAGAAATAGTTGTTGAAAAATAACAGCAGGAATATAACATTATGTAGGTAACTTACATTTAATGCCGCAATAGAAAATTTACTATTATGACTATTCATCACTATTTTGGTTGATATCACTAATACTATTGTCAGCACTATTTCGGTTTGTATCACCATTATTACCACTACCCCCAGGATTGGATGATTTGTATAAATCACTCTCTGAACTAATAAGCATTTTCTTATTTTGCACACTTGCGTAAATACGCCCATTAAAGGTCCAAGACGATTTTCCCATTACTTCCCTTACTTTTTTAAAAAGATCTAGGCTTTCCTGGGTTAACATTTCCGTAATGAAAATTTGCGAGCCTTTTAGGTGTTTCTTATTAAAGAACACCTGATCTCGAATCCACTTAGTACAAAACTGAACGGCTAGTGGCCTTGGTTTTTTATTTTGGCTGTTTTTAAAACCAATGCGATAACAGTAATTGATGTCCCGTTTATTTATATCTGTGATTTTCAATTTATTATTAAAAATATCTAGTAAACAATCGTAAAGATCGTTTACGTTTTCATTGATTCCGCGCATTACAATGACGTTTGACAATTGCCTGGCCTGACTGCGCTTGCTCTCTCTCTCAATTAACTCAACATTTTCTTTTAAGGACTTCATTTCACCCTGTAAAACAGCAAGGGATGAGTTAATCATGGATTCAAACATCTGGAACTTCACTATAAAATCCCCGGGAACCGCCGATGTAACAGGAGTTGGAGAAATTGCTGCAATTTCGTTTTTAAAACTATCAAGGCCGGTCTTGAACTCTAGCGCCAACTGTTCGACACGTGCACTTACTTCTTTCACCGTCGGATTTTTAGACATTTTGGCAGTATTTCACAGATATTCCACGTTCCAACAATTAAACACTAATTAACTATTAGCTGCTACAAAAATTATACTTTTCTGGGCACTGTAAATTACTATTTTTTACTATTTCTCTGGAGCCACCGCAAACAACAGCCTACTCGCCCAACAGCGCCATCTACTTCCTACTATAATAACTGGTAGTATACTAGTATTATTGTCATTCTTACATATAAAGTGAGCCGTGACAACTAAAAAACTCCTACTAGTATTTACTACTGTGCAAATATCCGCAGTAAGGGACAAATGCTGGACATCTGTTAATTTGCTTTTAAGTAAACTTCTGATGGCACTATATCGAGAGGATACCATCTTTGTAACCTGGGGACAGATAAAATTGAAATATAAAATTTATTTTAAGCAGTAGAAATGCTCAAATAATTCAATTCATTTATTAAGTTAACTTAAAAACTCACAGTATTTCTGGAAGGTGGTTTGTATAAAGGTGCAATTGTTCGGGTAAAATGCAGGAAACCCTCCTTTTCCACTATTGAATGAGGTGCATTGTCTTTACATACCATGTAAATGAGCGCATTCGTAATTTGTACATCTCGTTTTCCACCACCTGCAATAAAATGTAATAATTATATTAGTGTAATTTCACTGGACAACAAATTTTAACTTCTTGAAAGCTTTGAAAGTGAAATAGGTGAAACCTGACTAACTTGGGTGTGTTGAATCCGAAAATGACTGTGGTTTTTTTATTGGTTCACGTTTTTAAGATAGAGGGGTAATTGTACCCATAACAACTAAATTTTGGAAAAAATATAAAAAACGAGATTGTTTTTTTTTAACAAAATACAAAATATGGGGCGAAAAATCATGGTCTAATAAAAAAATAAATAATAAAAAAGTTATCGTGATTTAAAGGTGCCAAAACCCAGCACATCGAAATTAGTTTTCATGAAAATGCATTTATTTCATTTCCGAAGCTTTTTGGCTCTTGTCAAGTGTTATATAACAATATTTTAGACATGGATATCAAAAAAGATAAAATTTATCTTTTTTAATATTTAATATTACATTAATTTATTATTATTAATTATTAATAGTTATAATAACCAACTCACTTTCAAAGCTAGATTTTCTCTCTGCGGCCTCAAAAAGTGTCATTTGCCGTTGGTTTGTTGTACACAAAGAAGATCGGGATGGTGTTGGTGATCTTGACCGAATTGTAGGTGATGACGTAGATGAAGTAGATGCGCTTGGGGTATCTGGGGTGTTTTCATGACTGTCAATATGTAATTTTTGTTTTTTACTCTGTGCAAAACAAAACAATTGTTACTTTTACGAGATAACGACTCATGTATCGAGTTATTATTTGTTTGAAGCTTACCTGTAAAACTTGCAAATCAGGATGTTTGTGGCTCAGATGTTGCCGTAAATTTGATGTATCTCCTCCGGTTTTTAATCTTTTCATACAAAAATTGCACTGCGCCTCAATTTTATTTGATTTTGAAAAATATTTCCACACATCAGACATGATGCCTGCAAATTCTTGAAACAACTAAACTGTGGGTTTCACCGAACCGCATATCAAAGTCACCAACAAAAATTTGTTAGGACGGTTATTAATAATAATAACAACTTATTATTTCAGTGATAGATGGCCCATGTTCGTTTTTACCGTTACAGAAGATTTCTTTTTTCAGTTGTCATGGTAACTAGCAGACAGTTCTGTTAACTCTATCGAAACAACGACGAATCTATTTTAAATAAAATTACCAAAAAATTTTTTTTGTTAATATTTATATACATGTATGAATGTATTTAAATAAAATTATAATTAAGTGAAATATAGATTTCATTAAATTTACTACTACTGAGCTATCTTGCGTTGAATGGTCAAACTATACAAGGTATAGGAAACTGTAACAATCTTGCAGAGATGCCAACCGACATTGTGGCACCTAAACTTTAGGTAGGTTTTGGTCAAGGATGATAAAGTGACTAAACCATTGAAAACATTTTCATGTAGTGCACGCAAAATAACAAGAATTGATGCGGTTTTTTTGGCCGGTTATTGAATTTTAAAAATAATCACCGGTTTTAACTGTATTAAAAAAAAACCTAAATAAACCGGTGTTACGAAAAAAAATAACCTGTTACTCGGTTTAACCGACGGTTTATTGACATCCCTACTTCTTCTTGATATCGTGTGTGAAAACAGTACCTCTCATAAATAACGTTTGTTCTTGGGACAAAATGTGTTTTAAATTTCTCCAACACCGTGTCAAAGTTACTGGCATCCTCTCCAGATAATTTAAAAGACTCAAATATCGACTCTGCTTGAGGTCCCATTAAATAAATCAAGGAATTAACCTGTTCATCACCAACTTTTTGGTTCAAACCTGACGCGGTTCTGAATCTTTGGAATCGTAAGTGCCATTGATCCCAGTCGCTTGCCTTGAATGAAAAAGGCTTAGGGGCAGGAATCTGGTACACAGGAGCATTATTAACTTGCGTTGTAACTGGCGGGTCCGGGTCCGGCATGATTTGATATTGCTTACTAAATTATCCTTTTTTAGTGCAGCACAGAACAAATCAACTATTACCCATATAGCTGCCACCATGTATTGTTATTGAAACTATTCGTTTAGTTCTTAACTCGTTTATTAACAATGTATCAAAAATATAAAGTACGTTAGATGGCGCCGTTGTCGGGGCGCGTTCAGAATGGATGTATGCAGGATTGCCTACTTACACTCAAAGAATTTAACGATGTTACTGAAACTGTTTCAGTGAAACAGCAAAAACATTATTGATAGCAGTACAATATTGGAAATGGGGCTAAAGTATTTTCTAAATATATTAGTAAACATTTGCAAACAATTTCGCTAAGAAGATAGGAGTTCAATTGTTTTGACAGTTCTTTTACTCTGAAAATATTTTCCTAGAATCCATTGAATAGGAATACAGCGAATGGTATTGCAAAAATTCTTATCCGATAATTATTGTAGAATTATGCGAATTTACTATTATATTACGAAGCAGTATTATCTTACCACTCGTGGTCATGCAATGGGAGTTACTAGGAGAGTGCGAATAAATGGATAGATCCATTTTGTTGTAAGAGAATTTCTTAAACTGCTTAATATTCAAATAATTATAATTAAGTAGTGGTCCTAAGTTGTTTTCGATTAAATGATGCAATAAGTTATGATCTGTTATCGAAGCCTGATTGTTTAAAAAATTTCCCTCTTTTATGCGTCTATAAATTTGTTAAAGCGGATAATTCGGTTTTTTTACAAGCTTTTTTATTTGGCCTAAATAATTTTCAAATGGAAAAGCTGAGAATGTTCTCCATATGTTTTTACATCATCGGTTAAATGACACAAAATATGAACATTATAAACAAAAAAGTCTGGCCCATAAATCCGCTCACTGTGACTGACAAAAGTGGTCAAAAGCTCTTTAGGAAAATTATATCCAAAATGGGTAATACGTGTATTACATGACAGTATAGTCACTGCGGCATAAGGGAGAAGATATATTCATAGACAGCAATATTAACTATTGGCTTTAGTACTAATGGGCCCAGATAAAGCAGAAATGTTCTATGTTCTGTCGCCTTCCAGCGTGACAATGGACGAGGCTTTCTATTTAAATCGAAAGGAAAACTGTTTTTGCATAGCAATAACTTATTAGAAATTAATTTGGTCATGCGACTACTTAATTTAAATGCACTCGGTGGGCCATTAGTCAACATAGTTAATAGTTTTCTGGTGACACCCCAGCAAACGTTGTACATGTAGTCTATTGGAAATGACTTAATAAAATCCATAGAAGGAACGGTTAAAGGGGATACGCCTGTGTCGTGATCTTCATCTAGTTGTGAGCGGAAAGACTAATCAGATCTTTTTGAAGCATTGACACCCATAAAAACTACTTTTCCATTTAAATATTCGCCATACTCCGTGCATTTGTCACAAGACGAGTACCCGCCATGAGACTTGGCACATTTGATAAACGCCCGCGCAGGTGCATCGTAAATGAAGTTTTCAATTTCAAAAGTATATTTTTTATTGTTTATTTCCAAACCGTTTTGTGTAAAAAAAAACTGAACCTCCTGGATAAAATCCTCAAAATATTTTTTGAGCGGGGTTGGTTTATGCGTTCTACAATAAATACATACAATGAAAAGGTTCTTATCAATCCCAATATAGGCCATAACTGCGTGTTTGAACTTTTAAACAAAGGAGTCCATCAATATTGAAGCTTACCTTAATATTGCCAAATTCGCATTTTGGTTTTGTATGATACAGCATCTGCAACAAAAGGAAACAAAAATAAATAAATACATAACGTAGCTATAGTTACAGCCAAAGATTACCTACTAATAACAGAAGTATTAAGTTTTTTTCCGCAAATTAGACATGATACAAATCAGTATTTTTTTGGAACAGGTACCTCACATAACAGGTCCAAGTCCATACCTGTTCCAAATACCTGTTATTTTAATACCTAGTATTTTATAAAATACTATGTGTAGGTATCTAGTATGTTATAATATACTAGGTGTACCTAGTATTTTATAAAATACTAGGTGTACCTATTTTATAAAATACCAGGTGTACCTAATATTTTATAAAATACTAGGTGTACCTATTTTATAAAATACCAGGTACACCTAGTATTTTATAAAATACTAGGTGTAACTAGTATTTTATAGAATCGATACCTATTACAGACTGTTATTTGCTTATACCTGTTACAAAATACCTGTTCCTAGTATTTTGTATCATCTCTACCGCAAATGCTTTTTTATTCGACCTTCGCCCATAAAATGAATACTGTGCGCCGAGGTAGTTAGTTATAATGTGCCTCATAATCTTATTAGTTTTTCCAGCGATATCTTTACCTCCAAAACTAGACAGATACAACACCTGCAAAGTTACAGCAATAAAGAAAAAATAATCTAAATATTAGGGAACATGTTTTTCCAAAGCATTAAAATTTTCCTCATTATCAAGAAAAGTTTCTACCTCTTCTACATCTTGCATAATTTAATGGAAATTTTACTCGAATATTATCAGACCATTGCTTTAGTTTATAGTTACTTGAGACATGGGTCAAGATTTCCGTATTTTGTTCTTTTATTTCAGCAAGTAAATTTATTATTTTTTCTTGCAAAGCTAATTAGAGATAAATTTAATTTTAAACACGTCACCTTTATTTAAAAAGTTTAGACTTACTTGAATTTCCGACTGTAATAGGCAGGCGCGAAGTTCTAATTGCGCTAGTACGATGTGTAGTATTGCGTAAAGAAGTGCTGTTGACAACCGTTTCTGGAGAGCTGCGTAATATGTGGTAAGTTGCGTGGGCTTGCGTAGGGAGACTGGCTTTTCAAGAGCGTAAGCGACTTATAAGCATTAAAAGCAGAACTTCCTGCTCTTTCTTCTTCAACTACAGAAAATGAAAAGATGAAATTCGTTGAAAATTAAAATTAGTACCTATTATATGAGATAACAAAAAGTACTTACCTGGTGATAAAATTCTCGGCGGACGCAATTTTTTTTTCGGGGCACACTGCTGTTTATTCGATTCCATTTCTTCCTCCTCGCTACTAGAAATTAGCTTGCATTTAACGGACCTGCTACTTCTTTTAACTCCTTGGTCTTGCTCTTGCTCTATATTAGCATCACCTGTCTGGACGTTCGATTGGATTTCCGCGAGTTTTAACTTCTTGCGTGCCTTTTTAAAGTCATATGAAATAGTAAATACTTAAATAAATAACAGATTTAAAAATCACCAAAATACCGTTGTAAAAAAATTATTGCATTATTTTGTTCAAAAATAAAATGTTACCTGTTTCAAAAAATATCCTCAGCACGGAATGTATCTCCCAATTATCCTCGCCTCGCTTTAGCGCCTCATAATATTCTTTAGTTCGTTTATAAGGGGGCCAAAATGTTTCTTTTTTTCGGGGGTCAACCAACCCTCATGCACAAGGGCAACACTGCCGTCCTGGAATTCAACACCCACAAATGAATGCATTGTCCTAAAGCAAAAACATTTTAAGGTTATGTAGAGCTATAACAGGATTATTTTGACTTCACTGAATCAATAAAATGTACTCACCGTTTGTACCAATAATCCACGATATATCGCAAATATTGCACCAAATTGCACACACTAAATTGATAGCGTGGCTTTAAAAACGCGGGAACAAGACAAGAACGTAAAGAAAATGACAACCGTTGGCGCTGGTTGATGCAGCTGCCCGCGCATGTAATTGAGGCTTCTAATGCGGTTATACGAACGGCCCACAACAAGCCTAGGTATTCTCTATCTTTTTTCAATGTATCAAATAAAGAAGATGCTTGTCTTAAAAAAATAAATTATGTATATAAGGATTTAATATTTTTATAATATATATTTTGTTATTACCATTATTTTTCACACATCCTAATAAAAATACTTTCATAATGATTAACGCCCCCTTAATAATATGTATTAGTTTATTATACATCTGTGCAGACCATATAAATATAAATACCTAATATAGGTAGGTATTCTTAATTTCTGTCTGCACGGAAAATAAAAGCAAACGATATATGGGAATTGGGAAATGGTATATATGGGGTATTCCATACCAAATCGACCACTTTTGAACCCGACCCCTTTAGATTTTGCTGAAACTTTTCCATCCTTTTCTACCCTTTGAAAAACATTTTTGAAAATTTTTTCAAATTTTTTTGTCCAACCTCAAAAAAGTTATGAATTTTTAAAAAAAATGGCTTTTTTATTTTCAAATAGCAATAACTTTTTTAGAAATTGACTTTTGGATACCTTTTTTTTAATTTTTGTTTTTGAATGAACTTTTCAAAAAAATACACGAAAAAAATTTAACATGTTCAATTATATAAAATAATCGTTTTTTTTTTAGTAAAATCGTCATTTTTTCGAAGTTCGCCATTTTTTTTTTGTTTTTTTTTCTCAAAAAAAACTTCAATTAATTTGACAACTATCCCCGCTAATCCCGGAGTGGGCCGATTTTTTTTTAATTTTTTTAACGTATAATATTTTTTTTCCATTTTTGAAAATTCGACAATTTTTTTTTAAATAAATAAAAAAAATACAAAAAAAAATCGGCCCACTCCGGGATTAGAGGGGATAGTTGTCAAATTAATTGAAGTTTTTTTTGAGAAAAAAAAAGAAAAAAAAAAAGGCGAACTTCGAAAAAATGACGAATTTACTAAAAAAAAAACGATTATTTTATATAATTGATCATGTTAAATTTTTTTTGTGTATTTTTTCGTGTATTTTTTTGAAAAGTTCATTCAAAAACAAAAATTAAAAAAAAAGGTACCCAAAAGTCAATTTCTAAAAAAGTTATGGATATTTGAAAATAAAAAAGCCATTTTTTTCAAAAATTCATAACTTTTTTGAGGTTGGACAAAAAAATTTGAAAAAATTTTCAAAAATGTTTTTCAAAGGGTAGAAAAGGATGGAAAAGTTTCAGCAAAATCTAAAGGGGTCGGGTTCAAAAG